GAGGGCTGCTTTACTCTGATTTCCCTCCACTGTCTGTCTACTCAGTCAGCTTGCAAGAAGATCAAGTAGGATATCTTGTAACGTCCTTGTTTTCTGAAAGTAGTTTTATAATCAGTTTTATAATGCCCCCTCCCTGGAAGTGTTCAAGGCCAGGTTGGATGAGGCTTTGAGCAACTTGATCTAGTGGAAGGTGTCCCTGCTCATGGCAGGGGGGTTGGAACTAGATGATCTTTAAGGTCCCTTCCAACACAAACCATTCTATGATTCTATGATCAGAGGGCCTTTTTGGATATTATAAATGGTTTATTATTCAGTCACACACACAGACTGAGGTTACAACAGCAGTTTTGAGGTATGGTATCTAATTGGGAGTATTATCTATGTCAAACTTGAATACTCAGTATCATAGATATTTTCTTTTGTACCTGCTGAGTTTCCATCATGTAGCTTTGGAGTAATTTCTTTTTGTGAAACTTACTCCACCAAATTTCCTCTAATGAGCTCAGAGTGCTGAGGTGATGTGATCCAGTGTGCTTGTCAGCTGTCCCCAAGCAGAGGCTGATTTGCATTCAGACCAGTCTGCCTACAGAGACAGGGCTTCTTAACTGTCTGTCAGTTGTTTGCATTAAATGTAGGACAGTTCTACTACAGAGTTCATCTGCCTCCTATATATTAAAGAATAAATTGTTTAAAGGTGCTATGTATGCAACTCTCTAATTGAACAGTGATACAGAATGTTTTATAAGAATATTTAAATATACACCAAGCTTTAACCTAGATCAGATATGATACCTAGGTCTTGTTTAGTTCTGTATTTTGGGTGCAATTTACTATATCCAAAATAAGTCTATAATTTGGTCATGGATGGTCATGCTGATACCAAAAAATCTTGCAACTGTTATTCATGAAATATTAATCACAAATGGAAAACAACTACTTTAGAGTTGTATAATGGTCCATAGAAGATTACAACTATACCTCTGAGTGATCAGGACTTCAAGGGCATCAGGATATGAATGTGTGCTCCTAATTCATACTGAAAAACACAGAGTATTACCACTGGGACTGAAAAAAATCCTATCCTAAACAAAAATGAAATAAAACAAAAGGAGTGAAAATGTCTGTTTCAGTGGAAACTAGCTGATGCCTCAAGCAAATACTAGTATTTGTCTTCATATGCACATCAAACCTCATTGACAGACATCACTCTAATACTGTATTTGCTTCTGCATGTGTCTTTACTATTGACTGGATTCAGTAACATCCATCCTCTGCCTAGCATTATACTTCCATCTTATGTTTAGTTCTTATCAGTTAATTACTGGCTGTTTCTGATAAAAACGTACTTCATCAGATACATCAGAGTTAAGGTTAAGTTTCCTTTCCTTGACCCTGCTTTGCTGCTGAACGTGCACTGAAATACAAAGCCCTTTTATTTTTCTTAGTTTGATTTTGTAGGACTGAATTCTGAGAATTCCTTGTTAATATGTTAGCAGACAAGTTCAAATATTGTTCTGCATTTTCTTGTTGACTGATGATTTTACTCAATTCCTCAAATGCTTCCTTGTGTCAGTATGGAAATCACTTCTCTCATTGCCTAGAAATTCAGTGGGAGCTATTGTCTT